GTCATGTCCTCGACGGGCTCAAACTCGGTGTCGGTGTCGAGCTCGTCGCTGCTCTACACAATTATTATGACGTCATACACGCGCGGACGCGAGGGTTGGAGTGACGTCACGCGCGGCGCGGGAGGTCCAATAGTTACTTTTAAAGTATCTAAAGTCAACCGTCAGTGTCTAAGGCCCAGTTTTTTGATTTGTAGTTAAATTAACCAATAGTCAAATTTGACAGATGTCAAATGACAAGTGGTCAAATATCAGAAAAAAATGTTTTTCGAACAATGATTAGCTTGACTTTTAGTACATTTTTAACTATTAGTTAACATTTTGTTAATATTTAACCATTAGTTGCAAAATTTAACTATTAGTTAATTTAACTATGAATCAAAAAACTGGGCCTAAGTCTACTCTCAAAATGTCTAACGTATCCAGTCTACTCCCAAGTGTCTAAAGTGTCCAAAGTCAACGTCATGCTATACAAAGTGTTTAAAAGTCAACCACACTCTATCCAAAGCATCTTAAGTCACCTCCAAAGTGACCAAAATCACCTACAAAGCGTCCAAAGTCACATTGAGTGCCCAAAGTCACCTCCAGAGCGTCAAAAGTCATCTCGAGTGCCTAAAGTGGCTCCAAAGTGTCAAAGTCACCTTCAAAGTGTCTTAAGTCACTCTCCAAGCGTCCAAAGTCACCTCCAAAGTGCCCAAAGTCACCTTCAAAGTGTCTTAAGTCACTCTCCAAGCTTCCAAAGTCAATCCCAAGAGTCTAAAGTAATCTTAAGGGTCCAAAGTCACCTTCAAAGTGTCTAAATTCAATCCCTAAGCGTCCAAAGTGACCCCCAAAGCGTCCAGTCGGTACTCACATCGGCTGCGTGTCTCCACCGTCATGTCCTCGACGGGCTCAAACTCGGTGTCGGTGTCGAGCTCGTCGCTGCTCTACACAATTATTATGACGTCACAACACACGCGGACGCGAGGGCTGAAGTGACGTCACGCGCGGCGCGGGCCGAGTGCACAAGTACCAATAGTCACTTTTAAAGTATCTAAAGTCAACTCACAAGTGTTTAAAGTGTCCAAAGTCAATTCCTAAGTGTCTTAAGTCAACTCCCAAAGTATCAAAATACCCAAAGTCACCTCCCAAGCATCCAAAGTTAACTATAAAGTGTCTAAAGCGTCCAACGTCACCTCCAAAGCATCCAAAGTCAACCCCAAAGTAACCAAAGTGTCCAAAGTTACCTCCAAAGTGTCTAAAGCCAATCTCCAAGCGTCTAAAGTCAATCCCCAAGCGTCCAAAGTCATCTTAAGTCCCCAAAGTCACCTTCAAAGTGTCTTAAGTCAACCTCACACTATCCAAAGTCACATCCAAAGCATCCAAAGTCAACTCCAAAGAAACCTAAGTCATCTTAAGTGTCTAAAGTCACCTCCAAAGTGTCTAAAGTCAATCCCCAAGCGTCCAAAGTCATATTAAGTGCCCAAAGTCACCTCCAATGCGTCCAAAGTGACTCCAAACCGTAAAAAGTAACCTCTAAACCGTCCAAAGTGAACTCCAAAGCGTCCAAAGTCAATCCCCAAGAGTCCAAAGTAATCTTTAGCGTCCAAAGTGACCCCCAAAGCGTCCAGTCGGTACTCACATCGGCTGCGTGTCTCCACGGTCATGTCCTCGACGGGCTCAAACTCGGTGTCGGTGTCGAGCTCGTCGCTGCTCTACACAATTATTATGACGTCACGCACGCGCGGCCGCTAGGGCTGAAGTGACGTCACGCGCGGCGCGGGCCGAGTGCCCGCACAAAGACCAAGTCGCTTTTAAAGTTAACTCGCAAGTGTCAAAAGTGTCTAAAGTCAACGTCATGTCTATACAAAGTTTTAAAGTCAACCTCACTCTATCCAAAGCATCTTAAGTCACCTGCAAAGTGACCAAAGTCACTTCCATAGCGTCCCAAGTCACCTATAGTGCCCAAAGTGACCTCCAGAGCGTCAAAAGTCACCTTCAGAGTGTCTAAAATCAATCCTCAAGCGTCCAAAGTGATCTTAAGTGTCCAAAGTCACTTTCAAAGTGTCTAAAGTCAATTCCCAAGCGTCCAAAGTAAACCCCAAAGCGTCCAAAGTCAGCTCCCAAGAGTCTAAAGCGTCCAACGTCATGTCCAAAGCGTCCAAAGTGACATCCAGAGCGTTCAAAGTCAAGCTCAAACCGTTCAAAGTCGGTAGTCGGTCGGTACTCACATCGGCTGCGTGGCGATGTCATATTAAGTGCCCAAAGTCACCTCCAATGCGTCCAAAGTGACTCCAAACCGTATAAAGTAACCTCTAAACCGTCCAAAGTGAACTCCAAAGCGTCCAAAGTCAATCCCCAAGAGTCCAAAGTAATCTTTAGCGTCCAAAGTGACCCCCAAAGCGTCCAGTCGGTACTCACATCGGCTGCGTGTCTCCACGGTCATGTCCTCGACGGGCTCGAACTCGGTGACGGTGTCGAGCTCGTCGCTGCTCTACACAATTATTGTGACGTCACACACGTGCGGACGCGAGGGCTGGAGTGACGTCACGCGCGGCGCGGGCCGAGTGCCCGCACAAAGACCAAGTCGCTTTTAAAGTTAACTCGCAAGTGTCAAAAGTGTCTAAAGTCAACGTCATGTCTATACAAAGTTTTAAAGTCAACCTCACTCTATCCAAAGCATCTTAAGTCACCTGCAAAGTGACCAAAGTCACTTCCATAGCGTCCCAAGTCACCTATAGTGCCCAAAGTGACCTCCAGAGCGTCAAAAGTCACCTTCAGAGTGTCTAAAATCAATCCTCAAGCGTCCAAAGTGATCTTAAATGTCCAAAGTCACTTTCAAAGTGTCTAAAGTCAATTCCCAAGCGTCCAAAGTAAATCCCAAAGCGTTCAAAGTCAACTCCCAATAGTCTAAAGCGTCCAACGTCATCTCCAAAGCGTCCAAAGTGACCTCCAGAGCGTCCAAAGTCAAGCTCAAAGCGTTCAAAGTCGGTAGTCGGTCGGTACTCACATCGGCTGCGTGTCTCCACGGTCATGTCCTCGACGGGCTCAAACTCGGTGTCGGTGTCGAGCTCGTCGCTGCTCTACACAATTATTATGACGTCACAACACATGCGGATGCATATCTATATAGGGCTATAGGTAGCTTCTTTGTATCGTAAAGTTATGACAACGAATTTTTGGCCATCGCTTAGGCCCGTTTTCCACCGTGACGGATCGGAGAGGAGAAATCTTTTGAATAACCAATCAGAGGTGGAATTGTGTAAAGCAATCGTTATCATTTGACAGTTCATAACGTACGATAAAGTCAGTTAAACACAGCGTTTGACAGAATGATCGTACGTTATGAACTGTCAAATGATTACGATTGCTTTACACTTTACAGAATTCATTCATTATTGGATTGGAGAATAAAATCTGGTTAATCAAAACATTTCTCCGCTCCAATCAGGCTTGGTGGAGACCGGGCCTTACTGTATAAACCCGGATTTCACCAGTAAACGAGTTTAAAATGCGGGTTGTAGACTAAAAACAATAAATAACAAATTTATTTTCTTTCGTGACAGTATTCTAAGTGACAGCAAAAAATCCGTTGTCATGACCATTGACCATTACAGCTCTTGGCAATGGTTTGAACTAAAAAAGCTACCTATATTCCTATCTACGCTCATGAAAGTGTGGTTTATTTGTAGACTATTAAATTTAAAATACTTGCATGGGTTATATTGAAATAAACGTAGCAAAGTTATTTTAATAAAATATAGGTACCTACTACAGGTCTATAGCCCGGTCGCCGAGCACGTAGAATTTCGTCCAATGACCCCAAGCTACCCATCCTTATCGCTCGCTATTATATTGCTGTCGCGACTGTGCGACGGGCGGCAGCAGTGAGTGTGCGAGCGCGACAGTAATATAATTACGCGCGGGCAATAAGGATGTGTAGCTTGGGGTCATTGGACGAAATTCTACGTGTTCGGCGACCGGGCTTTAGTGCAAAACTGAGTAAGTGCCTGAGGTGTGGGAGCGGATCGGGAGGGTGTTTTTGTGACGTTAAACGTCAACGAGACGTTGTGCAGACTCAGTTGAGCTCTAGACCTGTAATATTGACTAAAACATCTACAAACAAACCACACGACAATGTTAACACAAATGTATTATTAAAACATACACATGAACACAAAATGGCGCTAATAACTAATGAGACATGACAACACATACACACACATTCACTACACATACAGGTCGAGTTTGGGCGCTTGACGTGACTGTAGATGGACCATAATTATTATTTGGTGTTTAATTTGTACCAGCCTGACCTTTTATTTTTGATTCATATGTTAATGTTAAAAAGTTTTTGGACATTCTGGTTTTCAACCGACTTCAAAAAAGGAGGAGGTTCTCAATTCGACCCGTATGTAATTAATTAATGATGGAGGTATGAACATAAAATACATTTGAATTAAGAACTTTCTTTCTCGCTTTTCGCTCGATGTCAGTTTTTCGAGTCAAAAAAAAAAATATAGTTAACTTGACACTGGCTGAAATAATCTTCTCTCTTTAAAAAGTTTGGTTGCCACAAAGACAATTAAGTTTTTACCCGACTACGGCAAAGCAAAAGGAGGGTTATGATTTTGACAGGCTATGTATGTATGTATGTATGTATGTTCATCTGTTCCCTCGTAACTTCTAAACTACTTATCAGAATTCGACGAATGACATATGTATCATTAGAAGCGTCTTAATTGTCCGCTGGTTATAGGCTATATGGGGTTTCACAAAATCTAATGTGGCGCCCTCTAGCGGACAAAACATACAAAGTAAAAAAATAAAGTTAAGATAAATATGCCGTGTTTGGTATCATTTGAAAGCGCTTTACTTGTTATTATTTGTAAACTGGTTGAAAAAAAGAAAAGGCTGGTACATCTTGAGCAACTCTTGATGTAAGAAAAGACTGGTACACTTGAGAAACTACTAGCACACTATCTCAAGTCACGCCAAGAGCCCCTGCTCCTCTCAGGCCTCACATTTGCTCCTGGTCTCCAGCGTATAGTGCTCGTCCAGCTCCACGTCCTCAGGGTCCAGCTCCTCCTCCTCCTGCGGCAGGGGACTTAGAGAACAGTGTGGATGCAGGGACTTAGTGGTACCTCCTCTTACAGTCAACAGGGGACTTAGAAGGGAACGGAGCGAAGGGACTTACTTGGTAAGAACGAGGGGACTTGAAGAACGGAGCGAAGGGACTTAAGTGGTAAGAACCTACTCCTACAGTCAGCAGGGGACTTGGAGACAGTGCCGGATTACGGATTAAGACTACTAGAGGCCGTAAGCAATCCACACCTGTGTGCCCACACTACTGGATCCCGCAAAACTGGATTGCCGTAGGAGCTGTAAGAGGCCACTTGAGGCCAGTACAGACGATGCCTCAACATTGTGGACGTCCACCCACAAGGACCGACGAACCGACGACCTCAAGGTAGCAGGAAGGCGCTGGATACCGCTCAGCATTGTGGACGTCCACTCACAAGGACCGACGGACCGACGACCTCAAGGTAGCAGGAAGGCGCTGGATACCGCTCAGCATTGTGGACATCCACCCACAAGATGGACCGACGACCTCAAGGTAGCAGGAAGGCGCTGGATGCCGCTGCCAACTGTCCCGCTCCGCTCTAACTACCGTAGTCCGCTCCAGTTGTCGAGCAGCCTTAGTATTTGGTATCTAACGCCGTAGGCCACGTCACAATGCTTACTAAAGGTACTATAATTGTTGTCTCTTTCAGACTGGACGTCCATACGCCCACGCCTAGAGACGTCTCTAGGGACATTTGACGCTGACGTTATACGCCGCGTTTAAAAGAGTCTTGTAGCCAGTGTAATCGCGTTAGCGTTGGCCCTCAGTGTCATTAAAAGAGCTGCCGCACACTCTAGTGTCGGTATAAGAGCTGCCACAGCCTATGGTGTTGGTATAAGAGCTGCCACAGCCTCTAGTGTCGGTATAAGAGCTGCCACAGCCACTAATATTGCTAGAAAGCCTGCTATAACTGTCCCACGCACCCTGTTCATGAGCACGGCGCGTCGTATCTCCCTCACAGCATCATACACCAGTCGCGAAGCATCGATGAAGTCGTTCTCGTCTAGCGCGCGGGCGGTGACGGCTTACTAAAGGCAACGAGCCAAAGTGAGTCTTAGCGAAAGACTATAAGAGTCATATTAAGTGTCTCCATTTCGGCCAAAGATAGCGCAGCAACCCAAAGTGAGTCTTTCGGCCTCCACGTATGGATGTCTCTGGAGACTCAGTTTACAACGCCACTCCACGCAGCCGTACTTGGGTTTACGAAAGGCTTACTAAGAAACTCTGCTTCGCTACCTAGCTAAGTGTCTTAGATGCAGTCCGCAAGAAAAACACACTCCTAAAACCCACTTCGCTAGCTCCGTGTATACAGCAACACAGTTCGCTCCTCCGCTCCGCTTTACTACCGTACTCCGCTCCGCTTCACTACCCTGCTCCGCTCCGTTAGTCTTTAGTCTCTAACGCCGTAGGCCACATCACAATGCTTGATACAGAAAATATGCTGTGTTGTGGACTTGTGGTCTCTCTCAGACGTTGACGTCAACGTATGGACGTCGATAGATACGTTTGACGTCACACGCCGCGTTTAATAAGGGAGTGTCTTCGCGTTAGCGTTGGTCCTTTAGTGTTACTAAAAGAGCTGCCTCTGAGGAGGTTACACCCTATAATGTTGGTATAAGAGCTGCCACAGCCTCAAACACTGGTAAAAAGGCTACTATGAACACAGTATCATAATCCTCATATTGTACTACTGTCCCACGCACCCTGTTCATGAGCACGGCGCGTCGTATCTCCCTCACAGCATCATACACCAGTCGCGAAGCATCTATGAAGTCATTCTCGTCGAGCGCTGCGCCTGCGCCGCCACCGAGCGCGGAAACCGCTGCGTCGACGCGTACGGCGAATTTGGACATCACTGTGGACAAAAGAAAATATTATTATTAGACACTATTATTAAACTGCTTCTTCTCAGCACTGACCCATTTATTGTCCTGAAGCAGTGGTAGGGTTAATACTGGGACGTGTAAAAGTGCTTTTTTTAAGCCTATTTACAGAAATAAATGGGTTTTATGAGTTATTTTTATGAGTTTTTTTTTTTTTAAAAAGGCAGCCTGTAGGGCTCTTTCCCCCACAGAAATATCCCGTTTTTTTGCGGGTATTGTTTATCTTTTTGCAGGAATCAGGATCCCACTTAGTAGTACGAGTAGTATACGTGTTTTAAATAGTAACACACATAAAATTCGAATTTCCAAACACAAACTTGATCCTGGAACCTGCATTACTGGATCCCATAAAACTGAATAGCCCTGGGAAAGAGCCCTTATCATTTTTTTCTTTTCAGACTCATAAGTGCCAAATGTTAATTTAATTAGAAAATACATTTCATTTCACTAAACTTATGGTACAGATGAACGATACAATCACGCATAGTATTACCGTGACGCAGTGTTTAGCACTGTAATTTCTTATCAATCCTAAAGGCCCATTAGGGCTTAGAGAACTGACCTACTGAACTAGTCGATTATTTCCTAATTTAGTTGAATACTGTTTTTAGGTCATCAGTGTAACGCTTAAAATTAGGAAACCATATTGTCAGTCTGAAGGCGGATAATTATGAAAGGCAAAGGTCAGTCCTCATCGCACGTCAGTTGCGCAAACGCATCTAATGCATGTATAATAAAACTGTACATTAATATCGTGAACACCTTCATTTGGCAAAATGCATGCGAATTTATTGCAAAAATAGCGGCCGCCCGGGATTTCGCACGCGTGGATCCCGTTTTACCCCCTTAGGGGTGAACTTTCGTAAAATTCTTTCTTAGCGGATGCCTAGGTACGTCATAACATCTACCTGCATGCCTTTCAGCCTGATACGTCCAGTGATTTGGGCTGTGCGTTGATAGATCACTATGTCAGTCAGTCAGTGACCTTTGAGTTTTATATAATGGTGAATGGTGTCAAATACTCAATATTGGGCTATGTCGGTTACTTTGTTTTAGTACATCATCATCATTTCAGCCATAGGGCGTCCACTGCTGAACATAGGCCTCCCCCAATGATTTCCACACCGCTCGGTTGGTAGCGGCCTGCATTCAGCGCCTTTAACCCTTATGAGGTCGTCAGTCCACCTTGTTACACAACTTAATTTTTAATTGTTAATGAAGTAACGGCCCTGTATCAGATTTCGTACAATTCAGATCATTTAACCAAAAAGATGGATCCAAATTCGCTAATTGCCAACTACCTGCGTGTTGAGTACTGATTCATAATGTACAGTAATTACTCATTGTTATTCAACATTGATTTATACTAGAACAATTGCTTGTTGCTATCATACAAAGTCAAACGTTTTAGATTGTGGTTTCTTAGTAGATATTTTGGGTGAGTTTTTTATTTTCTTTTGAGACGGATCAGAAATAGGGACGTTTCCTGGGTAAAAAAAGCAAGAGTTTCAATATTCGAACTAATGAAAATTGAAAGAGATAAAGCACGCCAAAGTTTAAAAGAATCAAGGCGTGATTAAAAGTGTAGCACTTTGTGACCTCACACGGAAATTCAAAGCAATATAACTTCGTAATTATTACTTGTTTGATTGACAAATATAAATATTTTTTGATAATGTTATTAACGGACTAAAAATTATTATTATTAATTATTTAAAGGTCAATGTCAACTTTTCTTTAGTTTATTGTAAGTGTATTATTATTTTTAAAGGTCACCAAACAAAAGAAAACTGTATATCCTATTGCAAATGCAATAAAAACCTATTGGCAGATAACATAAAAGGAAAAATTTATATAACAATGATCGAGCTCCTAAAAACAGTTATTAATTCTGATAACGTCATGTCTTCAAATAGTGATGACTTTTGCCATAGCTATGAGATCTTTTTAAAATAAAAACTTATAACTTCGAAAACTTTGCTGCTTTCTGTCCTATTATTTGTGTGATTATTTGTCTGTGAATCAAAATTGTTTCTTTCCCTAATATAGTTCCAAAATACTGAACTGTCCTATCTATGACATTGACAGTGGGGCGCCACCGTCAATACCGGATCGCTGGTTCCGATTTTTGCCATGTTGGAAACCATATAGTTGAACGATGGTAGCGCCCCCCTGTCATTGAGTTTGGCGAGACAGTTCAGCGTGGGTCATCTTTGCACACGAACATCCCGTTTTCAGTGTCTGGATCCGCTTGAATTTGTAAATTCGTATTCACAAAAAATCTATGAGGTCTCACAGTGCGCGTGGACGCACAGGGTGACATACGAACCTATCACAGAGCTCTATTCAACACTGTGCGTTCGATTTGCTGCTTCACTTAAATGCTTGTTTGTGAATACGGGCGTATATTTCAAGTGCACAAGCGCATTGAGGGAAGTAGATCGGGGTCCTGCACAACTCAGCTCACTACTTCTACTCTCTTGGTATATTCTTGTGCCTACTATTAGTGTGGCGTGATGTCCATTTTAAAACTTAAAGTTAAAGGGTTATTTCTCTCTCTAAGAGCCATTTATTTTTCTTTCAGACCTCAGCAGCCCATAAACCATAACCATGCTCGCATGGTGGGCACTAGCCATGGTGGCCGTGGCGGGAGAGGCCTCAGGGGCTTGGTACGACACCTTCACTGGGAACCAGATCACTGAGGAGCGGCTGGAGGCTTTGAGAGCGAACAACCTTATTCCGTAAGTACAGAGTTCATATTCCTTTACCCCAATAGCAGAATTGGCGACCTTTGCGAGTTCACGGAAGAACGGTTGAAGGTTTTGAGGGATAGCAACCTTATACCGTGAGTGTAAATTTCATATTCCTTTATCCAAACATTGCCACAAATTCGATAGGAACATCCTTTAGTCCAGCAGTGGACATCATTTGGCTGAAACGAACGAGCAAACGAACGACTCTTCCTGTGGATTTCGTAAGAGACGAAGAAATATGCGAAAATCAGGCTTCCTCAATCCATCTGGCCCTAATTCGCCTGGTAAATTAGAGAGGATCATTCTTCTACAGTGGAGATTATTCCTCAGACAAAGTAAGATACGTGTAATTTTTTCGTCATCACTACGCGGATGCTTTATGTGCAGTCACTTCACTCCATGAAGCGATTTCAAATTGAAAGTTTCATTGATGTTGATGGTGGTGTGGCACAAAATGGTCTAAGACTCAGTGATTGAAGGAGACCTACAACAAACCCTATTCATTAACTCTTATTCTGCCATAGTCTGAATATCTTGCAGGCTAAAATAATTAAACTATCATCCTTTCTTCCGCAGCTGGTGCGCAATAGAAGTCAAGGACTGTTCACCTCACGAGCCTCGGCGCATGGACAACTCTTGCAACAACCTGCACCACCCGCAACGGGGGGCCATCCTGACCCCCTACCATCGGATGCTGCGCCCCAACTATGCTGCTGATGGGGGCCCCCGAGCTGCCAAGAGCGGACGCCCCCTGCCTAACGCTAGGGCTCTGAGAGTTGCTTTAGGTAGGCATATACTCCTACTTACCCAAGTGATAACTTATGGCTCGGAAACGTGGCCTCTCACTATAGGCCTTAAATACAGAAGCTCAAAGTTGCACAGCGTGCTATGGAGAGGGCTATGCTTGGTGTTTCTTTGCGAGATCGAATCAGAAATGAGGAAATCCGTAAACGAACTAAAGTCGCTGACATAGCACGACGGATTAGGAAGCTGAAGGGGCAATGGTCAGGGCACATAGCACGCAGAACTAACGACCGATGGGGCAGCAAGGTTCTGAAATGGAGGCTAAGTACCGGAAAACGCAGCGTGAGACGTCCACAAGGTGAACCCACCACCTTAAAGGAAGCAGGAAGGCGCTGGATGCAGGCCGCTCCCAACCGGACGATGTGGAAGTCATTGGGGGAGGCCTATGTTCAGCAGTGAACGTCCTGTGGCTGAAATGAAGATGATGGATGATGTTGCCATTTGCCTATTACCGTATTAACAAACGATGCTTGCTTACGTGAAGCAGCAAATCTAACGCACAACGTTGAATAGAGCTCTGTAATTGATTCGCGTGTCACCCTGTGCGTCCATGCGCACTGTGAAACCTCATAGTAATGTTTGTGAATACGAGCATAAAATATACACTGTCGTTCTTTCCCCAGTGCCCGACGGCCGCGTGTCCAGCAAGCATTTCACGCACATGATCACGAATTTGAACGTGTTCATCATCGGTGACGTCACTTCTGTGCACGACACCGTTAACTACGTGGTGCTTACTACCACCTGCTGCCAGCCGGGTGGCAATTTGGACCCTAGGTGAGGAGTCTCCAATCTTATGAAGGCATTTTATCGATTTTAGGGTCATAGGCCCATACATTTTTCGTTTAATATCGTTGATCGAATTTTTTCAAGTTGTTTATTTAAAAACTTTGGTAAGATTTTATCATGGCGCACTGCATTGACAAATTACTGACTTTCTTGAAAGAAACACAAAATAAATTATTTATATGGCCCTAAACATTTTTACAAAAAAAGATTTAATTCATCTTACCAATATGAACAGCCTGACAGGTAAAAAGCAAGTCGCCAATAAGGGAAATAATATCCACAAGCAAGCTTTAAAATAGAAAGGGTTAACATAGCTAAAGCAAGGTTCTAAATTGCATAAAGCTTCAACCAAACAGTGTCATTGTCCCATGCACGCGCAGTGATCGCCATCGCTGACGCGATCTGCACGCGTTGAGTGAGCTGAAGCTTAAAAAATCCAGTTTGTTCATCAAAATAGTTTGGGCATGAAAATATGTAAACTTTTAATCGTACCGATTACGTTTTCCTTAATCGCAGATGCATACCGATCACAGTGCCGGAAAACGACGTGCACCTGAGGAGGAGTAATGTCAGATGCCTGAACCTGACGCGATCCATCACCTACCAGTCTCTGGGGTGCGTGCCGC